TACAGACATAGCGGCTGCAGTAAAACTTATCAGTCCAGTGGCCATGCTTTCTGGTTGTCGTATTGGACCACAAATGTACCCAGTCACATTATACTTGGTACTCCTTACCGGAACTTTGCCGTAAAATATTAGTTCCGGTATCAGAATAATGGTTGTCACTATCGAAATGGTAACTAATGAAAATCTTTTCCAATACAGGGTCATTTGTTTTTGGAATGGTCGACAGATTTTCAGAAAACGTTGTATGGAAATCACTACCAATAGAAATATTGAGCTTTGTGTTGCCAAGTAATTTACATAGAGGAGACACTTGCAAAGAACATCATCCGGAAATATGACCGGAAAGATGTTAACTGTTAGAGCGAACCACGTGGAGAATGCACAAGCCAACATGTCCACCACGGCTAGAATTGGAATGAAGTAACGATCATCCTTGTATCCTTTCATTTTAAAATTATATATGAAAATAATGAAAAGATTTCCAAATGTTCCGACTGTAAATAAGACGGAATGGACCACAGTACTGAGCGTAAATGAACGTGATATCTCGTGGTTCCATTGCTGGAGGAGTTTTTCCGTATCAAGGGATGTCGTTAAATTTTGCATTGTCAACGTCATCTGAAATTTAAAAAAGATAATTTGTTAAGCCTGAAGTAAGAATATTAAGAACCTTATTTCCTTAAGTATGGTTAAAATGCTTATACATTGTAACGCATAGGCTTCCCTGCAAACAGACATTTAATGCCTATTTAACGTCAAAACATCCTCTTTTATTAAGTAGGAGCTCGCGATGGATGTCAAGGTATTTATATTTTACTGTATCGAACTTTAAGGGGGATGTACGGCCATATTTAGTGCAGTGAGAACAAAATGTAAACATTTCTTCAAATGGCTCAAGTACATTATATTTTGATCAAATTCTAAACCCTTATGATAAAGATACAATAAATATGCATAACTGAATGCATGTTGTGCATATATAATATATACTTTTGCAGAAAAATGCTTTTGATATGCTCCTTAGAACTGCGCAGCTACAGAATTCAGCAGAGCCTTAAAAAATCCAAAAAAATACGAAAAGTGTGCATTAATGTTCTCTCTACAACCATTTGTTGAGAAAATGTCTAAATTTTGCACTTTTAAATGATAATTTTAAGTTCAAAACAAGATATCGTTGTCTTCAAAAAGAGTGTAAAGAACCCTGAAAGTAGTTCATTGATAGCAGCACGTGGTCTATTTTTAGCACAGAATTTTGTTTTCCAGACCTCTTCTTAATATGGAGGGACATAACAATCTTTAAATATAGAAGAGAATTACAGTTGCAAAATATTTCAAATAATATGAACACTTTTCAAAGAGGAATTGTGTTATAGTGTGGCTTGAAGTAATTTATTTAGTATTATTATCGAACAGTTGTTAAATAGTGTACGTATTGAAATTAACTTTTTGATTCCAGGTAAGGAAAAATGAGCACCATCAAAGTTTAAAATTAAGAGTTTGTAAGTTTGCCACAGATAACTTATAATATCTATCAAAAGTTTAATTATCACCAATGAAATTAAACACCTAAAATCGATATGAAAAACCTTGTGTTAGTATCTACTAGGGGTGATCAAAAAGTTCTCGAACTATCTCTATATGTACAAAACCACAATTTAGATTAGAAACAAATTTGGTTCACACTCAAGTTCTATAAATAGCATATGCCGAATAAAGATTTGCTCACAATGTGAAAATAAAGTCATTATGCAGGTACTTGTGACGAAAAATGGTTGTCTCAGTGGAACTCATTCAACAAACGACTAAAATAATTATGGTATATCTTAAAACTGCCTTTGAAGTAACGTAAAAAAATTTGTTCATAGTTTATTAAGACAAATGACTTCCTAATAACTCGAAACATTGGATAGTCCGTTTTAGTGAAGGAAGGCAGATGGTTGAATATGATACTTGTTATGTTGCCCGGTGAAAGCAAATTTGAAAAGGGGTTTGTTTTTAATTAAGCAATATGCTATCAAAGATCTCCAATTTACGATTTGAAAAATACTTGAATATTTCAACAATAATATAACTATCAAATACCTAAGATATGTAATGATTATATCATGTCAAATAAACATTTACAATTTTCATTACACGGAGCAACATTTGAAAAGTTATAAAATCAACGATATGTGTTAATGAATAATTTTTTTTTAAATGAATATTTATTACAATTTTACAGAGTAAAGAAAAAAATGTACAAAATTAAATATTTTATACCATCTTTAAAATTTTTTATCATACGGACAAATTATACGGGTCCGTATTTATATGAGAGAAAAAAATTCCTTAAAATTTAAACATATTTGTTGGTACATGTAAAAAAAATCCTGTAATTGGATGTAAAATACAATTGCATCGCGAAATTTTTATGTAATTGATCTAGAGAGGGCAATAGTCCAAATATTTTTACAACAAATGGTCTTATAAGGCTAGTACATGTTCCATCACATACTTAGTAATGCAATTTTTTTAATCTTTGGCACTATTTTGAAAAAAAATTAAATTTTAAGTGTTTTTTTTTTGCGATGATAGACATAGCATATGCAATGGGCCTTTGTTTGCAAACATTGTGATTTCTAAATTAAAAAAAACAACTCTATATATTTTATTTTGATATGTTCAATATAGAGCTTACCAGTCAACATAATATACATGATCGTTTTTATCAAACATTTGCATAGATGTGTTGGTCATTGAACAAACAATCAAGCTATTTATGTGAGGTGCCTGAAGGAAATCCTTTAACTGCCTATTTTTTCTATCTAACTGCTAAACAAAATAGACTTATGTACCAACTTTTCGATTGTAAGACATGTAATTATGTTCCCCAAACGGAGTTTGGGAACATATTGTTTTTACTCGGTTTCTTATTATTATTATTATTATTCTTTTTTTTCTTCTTTGATCAAGGGTTTCGAGAGTCCGCGAGTGTTCTCAGAAATCAAGAGCTAAAACCTTTTTAGGGTTAATAGGTGTGTAGTGTAGGTGTGCGGAACTGAAGGTCATTTTCCGCGCATACGCATGCACGTGCGTGCGCGTGAAATGAGTGAATTGACTGATATACTTAATATAGCTATTACTTTTACATTTTTCAATGAAATCATTGGATAGAAAGATATATTTAGTGATAAGGAAGGCAAATGGTTGAACTACGCGCATACGTGCGTTATGTTGCCCGGTGAAAGCAAAAAGCTGAAAATCTTTTCTTTTTTTAAGCAATATGCTATGAAATTTAAAACATACATACTTTTGAGATGTACTACAATATGGTATATAAGAATATAACTATCAAATACCTAAGATACGTGCACTGCAATCTGATTCAAATAAACATTGCTACAATTTTTTTTCAACCAAGCAACATTTGAACAAGGAATAAAATCATTCAGAGTGGGTTAGGAGATTTAATGAATAATTTTTTTTGTGATTGGCTGAAACAAAAATCTGTCAAATCTTTTTACAATTTTACAAATGCTTTGAAAGAAAAAAATGCAACAAAATTAAATATTATATAACATCTGAAAAATGACGTTTGCACGTGCGCTGCAATCTGATTGGGAAAATTATTAGTGTAGAAAAAATTCCTTAAAATTTAAACATATTTGTTGACGGAAGAAAAAAAAAATCCTGTAATTGGATGTAAAATAAAATTGAGTGCGTGCCATTTTTAGGCTCTGATTGGCTGAGAGACAAAAATCTCAAATATTTTTACAACAAATGGTCGAAATTTAAAACTAAGCATACAATAGGATGTCCATCACATACTATATATATGCAATTTTTTCACAATCTTTGGCACTATTGGTTTAAACTTTAAATGGTTATAACATAGGTTTTCAAGGAAATAGGATGGTATTTAGAATTTTTTTGCGATGATAGACATAGCATATGCACATGGGCACGTGTGTGCAAAAACCAACTCTATATATTTTATCAAGTGTATTTTTCAATGATCTGGATTTAATACGTTGATATTAACATAATATATATGATGCGCTTTTATGTCCAAACATTACTCCATACGATGTGTTGGTGTAATGCAAACAATCAAATATATTTTGTGAGGTGCCTGAGAAGGAAATCCTTTAACTGCCTATTTTTTCTATCTAACTGCTAAACAAAATAGACATATGTACCAACGTTTCGATTGTAAGACATGTAATTGCAATTTGTTTTTCATGCACCGCATATTGTTTAACATTTTCAAATTAAATGCTAAGCATCCTCCTTGCAGTGCCCCATTTCAAAATAACTTCTATCGCCACAGAAAAAAAGGCCGACGTAAACACATATGTTTAGGGCATTTTTTAGCTTTTTTCTTGAGTTTTAAAGAAACCAACAAATTATCAAGACTTGTTCCACGAAAAATTAAATATAATCATAGTAATAAACGCATCTATGCACAGCAGATATATGCACATGTCAAACACGTGCTCAGTGTATTAATATTTACTAGGAAACTCGAACTGTGAGCAGAACAGTTTTTCCCGATTTGCTGGAGTGGGGTTAAAATCGCGTTTTTTCATTAATCAGACGATACGATACAACAAATAAAAGTAGTAAGAAATATTACCTAATGATTATTACTTAGTAATTTCTTGTCTTGATGTTATTGTGGTCGCATTTATTCTAAAATCAATGTTATTCGAACTCTGTGTGACAGAGGAATGGCGGACGAAATAAACACATGGCCTCAGGAAGACACACATATGAAAAATCAAATTTTCAAGAATTCTAGATAATGACAAGGAAAAAGCAAAACCAATGGTTGTAGCCATATTATCAATGAATCACACTAACACCATTTTCAATGCATTATTTATCTCGTTAATGCTGTAGCTGCGCAGTTCTACAATGATTAATTTCCTCCTAATTAAAACAAAATAAACTTAATTATTTACTAATTTTGGTCTCTAACAGTAGGTAACTAGTGCATTAACACTTTGACTAACTTTGGGCTAGTTTAGACGAGTATTAAGCGCATTCTTGGCATTTCTTATTTCACACCAGACTAGATACAATTGGTTTGTACATCCCCCTTAAAGTCAATAAAGCAAAATATTTAGCCACAGCTTGTTTTTGAAGTATGTGTCCTAATTAGCTCTGCACGCCGAGGTTAGACAGAACTGTTTACAATCTTTAATTAATGACGGCATCTTCGATTTTCAATTGAACAAAGGATATTGATGAAAAGCCAGATATGACAGACAAACAGGAAGTTGCTATCGAGCCGTCCGACTCTTTTACATGACTCCGCGAATGACGCTCAGTCACACTATTGGAAATTTCTTTTCAAAAATAATATATCTTTTTGAAGTGTTTTAATCTGCAACAATGATTTTATTAAAAAAGGAAAAAGTTTCTATTTTTATTAATGTGGTAAATTTCATTCTAGAAAATATAGCGTCATCAAAATTTCTGACGATATGGGAATTTTTGTATTGAAAAATAAAACGCATTTGTTCTAAAGTTATAAAAATACAATGTATTTGCAATTATATATCTATTTCTGAATTTTTAGCACTAGTGAGTGCTGTTGGGTTAGAATCAAATTGAATTAATGCCTGCATATAATGGATTTCGCATTTTATGAGTCGTTATAAGCATGAGATTTAATGATGCACTTAATTCACTCAACTTGCTTGCCGGCACAGGAAGAGTAATAATTTTCATAAATCTCCGTATTAATTTGTTATTTATTATTTTAATCTTCGTTTTTGCAATAGGA